TCTTGTCAAAAATAAATTCCGATGAAATTCAGTTAAATAACGAAAATTCTTTGTTTTCTTTTTCTTTTATCGCTTTTGATCCCTCTTTCTTATTTTTCACTCTATTGTCAGAAAGTCCAATAATTGAGGGCGGTCCCATTAAAAATCAAACATCAAAGATTTTGAATAAATTAATGAATATTCCGTTTTTCTCCTTTTCTTGTTTTGTTTTTAATTCAAGTTCTCTTTTCTTTAATTTTGATACTAAAATTGATGATATCCAAGGCCCCACTTCTGTGTCACTTGTGGAGCGTAAAAGAACCACGCCCAAGCCCGTCTCCATCTTGCTGTTCGGCAGGCGGCCGTCCCGAAAACAAGCTAAAGTCGCCGGTATTGAGATAGACGCCGCCGCAGTAAGGTAGTCTTTCTTATCAATTTCGAGAGCTAGTCTCAACGGTCGTCATATCTAATCTTAGGGGTACTCGGGGTGCCCCTAATTTTTGTTGCATGGTCAAACTAGAGTACCGTCATTGCACGGACTTGTCTTTGAGCCTAAGTCCCGAAACCGTAGATTTCAGGCGGCGCACTGCTTGTGGCCGCCTGACAGTTAGCCCGGACCACTTCTCGACGCCCCCGTCGAGCCCTGGCAACTTACGTCAGACGAAGCGAATGAGCTTCAGGAGGATGGCCTGTAAAGGTCGCCCACGTCGGCGTTCAATTTTCTCTTGTTTTAGTTTGTTATGAGTCCTGGGGCTAAGAAGATGCTTCTTGACTCTCCTGTTTCTTCTGGTTTTTGGCCCCGGCACGATCCTCTTTTTCTTCTGTCTTTGCCTCGAGAAGGGTGTCGACCCGCCAGTACGTTTAACCCGAACTCTCCGTCTAGCTCGCTTGAGCACGAATAACCATCTCTTCTTTCTTCCTAAAGCTACCCCTTTGACCTTTCTCTTCTCTATTCTTTTCCTTTTCTTGGAACTCTCCCCTGCCTCGAATTGCCTCAAGGGGGCTTCATCCTCCACCATGGCTTTCCCTTTCCCTTTCGGGCTGGTTAGCGATAAAGCGGGCGTGGGCCTGGGCCTAAACAGCTTTAACCTAGCGCCCGCCACTGGGTCCTTCCACTTAGATCCATCCAATTCTGCTATCATATATGCACCCCAGTTGAGTGCCTCAACCACTCTGTAAGCTCCCATCCATCTGTTGGCGAGTTTTCCGGTCCAGTTCTTTCCAGCGCTGCATCGTAAATAAGGACCATATCTCCTACGTTCACCCTCTCTTTCCTAATTCGCACGTTCTTATCCCATCTCTCTTTACCCTTGTCCCTTTCTACTACCAGACGATCTGCCGCTGTCATGAGGTCATCTTCCAAACCGTAGGCTATTTGCCTCGTTCGGGCAGCTAAGAGTTCCTCTCTGGACATCTCCTCCGCCCAGTCGACGGTTGTCCAGCTGTCGACATGAAACTCTATGGGAAGCGGACAATGTCGCCCAAACCACAAGGTGTACGGGGGGTATCCGGTACTAGCCCGGACCGTGACGTTGTCTGCCCATATTGCGTATCGAAAATATYGTGGCCAATCACTGTCCTTACCCTTGCACCACTTAGACAGTGACGCTATCAGAGTCTGGTGTCCCCTCTCTACTGGGGAGTTCGACTGTGGGTGATAGGCGGTGGCTATCGAAACTCTCGCACCGGCTCTCCTAAACATGCTCTGGACCTCGTCGGCTAGGAATCTCGCCCCTTTGTCCATCACTATCTTACTGACACAACCATACCTAGATAAGTACTCTAGGACAAAGTTATTTACTTCCTTTGCCGCCTTACTCCTGATAGGTCTACCGTCCACGATCCCAGTGAAATCGTCTCGTATGTTCACGACGTAGTTCATATTGCCTACCCCTCTCGGCATTTTCACTAGATCGATGTGTACCTTCTCTCCTGGTCGGGTTGGATAGGATGGATGAAGTGGCTCTTTGTATTTCACAAGAGCTCTCTTCTGGCACTCTTCGCAGGTCCTACAATACCTCTCGACGTCCTTATACTGTCCTTCCCACCAGTACAATCTGCGTACCTTTTCGTAGGTTCCTTTGACTCCCCTGTGTCCTCCGACTACCTCGTCGTGAAGCTCTGCAACTATTGTCTGTCTCTCCTCAGGGTCACAGACTACTCGTAAGGGCATTCCCGACCCTACCGGCCTTCGGAAAAGGTGGCCCGCTCTAAGGCAGTACTGGGCTGCTTGCCTCCGGATATCTGAATCTTGACTCTCTTCTCCCGTCAGGTGTAGTCCGATCATTCGGTACTTGCCCTCGTAAAGATTAACTAGAAATCTCTCGGCGCGCCTCAGCTCTGCCATTGTCAGAGCCCCAGCTACTATCGGACGCTCGAGAGGGATGCGTGAAAGTCCATCTGCCACGGCATTTTTCGTACTAGATACTCTTTCGACCGTGTAATTGTATAGCCGAATCCGTATTAACCATCGGGCGATGGTCGGGTCCGTCAGACTAAAGTCCTTCTGGAGGACAGAGGCAACCGCGGTGGGGTCTACTCTCAAGATGAACCGTCGCCCATAGATATAGTGTCTGAACGTGTCTAGACACCGGAGAACAGCTAACACYTCCTTCTTGAATTGACTGTAGTTACGCTCAGCCGTATTAAGTGTCYTACTCTCAAATCTTAACGGTCTTTCCTTCCCTCCAGCGTCATTCTGAGACAGCAAACCACCCACTGAACATGGTCCAGCATCCGTGGATACTATGAACGGTCTCTTGGTCTCATCGTCAAAGAATGGCACGCTCAACACGCGTCCTCCCTCCTTAAATTCGTCTTTAAGTTCCTGCATTGCGAGTTCCTGCGAAGAATCCCAGTAGAATTTTTCAGTCTTTCGAAGGAGTAACCTCAATGGCTCAGCCTTCTGCGCATACCCCCGTATGAATATACGCCAGTAACCGACCACTCCCAGAAACTGTCGGACCTCGGTTGGGCTATGTAATGGTGACGGCCAGTTCAGGARTTTGTCTAACTTYGCCGGGTCTGCTCGGCGTCCTCTCGAGTCACATATAAAGCCCAAGATCTTAATAGTCGAGACGGCCCATCGGCTCTTGGTTCCACTGACTGTCAAATTTGCATCGTCCAACTGCTCGAGTACCGCGCAAATGTCTGTTAGGTGCTGCTCGACGAATCTTCTAACTCCAGGTATAACCTCTGTCTCATCCCTCTCTACTGGTCGTTTTATAGGAAAGTCATCCAGAAAAACTTCAACCTTATCAGGGATGAAGTCCTTGAGGACGGCTACCATGGCTCTCTGAAAAACGGCTACTCCATTAGTCCAACCCATAGGGACAACCATCATTTGAATCAGTCCCAATAGCGTATGCATAGCCGTGAGGTGTCTGTCCCTAGGGTCAAGCGGTACCTCATCATAGCCTGAGAACAGATCACA